TTTTTATTTTTTAATATAATTTTTTATATTTTATATTTTATTTTAATTTCTTTTTTTAAAAGATAATATAAATTTTATTGATAGTTATTATGACTACTGAGAAAAATAAAAAGACATCATCAAAATCTATATAAAAAATAAATTATAACATTATAACATATTTTTAACCAAGTAACAAAATTGACGGGTAAAATTATCTTTAAAATATTACAAAATGCAATGCAAACAAACACTATAATATAATTTAATTAGATACATGGTAAAAAATATGCTTTCACTTCCCAAATACCAAACATCACCTTAAAACATATACATACCTTAGCAAAACTATATATAAATTCATCATTTTTTTCTTTTTCTTTTGTCTTCATCTTGACATGCTTACGAACATATACAAAGTTATATCAATAGATATAGTTAAGTTTCCTTCTATTGTTATTTATTAATTAATATTTTTTATTTTAGAAAGTGAACAACAGAGAATATATTTGAATATAAAAAAACTTAATTTTTAAAATTTAAGATTTAAAAAAATTAAAATTAAGCTTTTATGAATAATAGCTGCATATTTTAATTTGATAAAGAAAATTATATTATGTAATTTGACTCAATAATTGATATGTAAATATTTTTTTCTTAAATAAATAGTTAGATTTAATTTTTTTTTAACTTTTAATGTAAAGAAAAGATAATTATATTTCAATTACTATTTTAATATTTATTAAATATAACTTGATATTAATAATAATTGATGAAAAACTAAAGAAAAAATAATAATAATCATATTGGAGTTTTCTTTTTTCATTGTCCAAGTGCAAGCAAAGAAGCCTTTGGCTTACTTTCAATATTTTTATAGATAAATAAAGAGAGTAACAACAACTAAATTAAAACATTAACTAACTAAATATTTTTTCATGACATTCCTCATCTGAGTATCCACAGCGTGTATTCTTTCGTAACAACAAGGTATGCCATTTCTCACTAACCTGAAAATCTAGTCTTTCAACAACACGGTCAATTGTCACCGTGCATGCCCTCTTCTTCTCTTCTCTCGCTCTCTTCCTCTCCACTTTTGCTTCCTTCCTCTCCGCATCCTCGCACCAAAACCCTAAAACCCTTACTCCTTTGTCCCACGATGAAGGATCGGCCTCCGTCCTCGTACGGCTCCGTTTACATCCCTCCCCACCACCGTCTCCGTTCCGTCATCTCTTCTTCCAACAACAACGCTAGCAAGACGGGACCAGATTTTTCCACCTCCGCGTCCGCGATACAGCCCAAACTCAACAACCGTAAAAACGCCTCCGCTTTGAGCGCTAGGGACACTGCTGCTGCTCCTCCTCCTCCTTCGCCTTTCTTGCAACAACCGCAGCAACAGCAACAGCAGAGGACTTATAATAGCAATAATAGCAGTAAAAATAGTAATAATAATAATTGTCAGTATAATTCAGCTTATGATGACGGGATTTCTGAGGATGGCTCTGATCGGGAGCTCAATTTGTCATTGCAATCGGTCAGTTCTTACGTATATTATTATTATTATGAGTTCCAGTATATTGAAATTTTCGTTTGTTTGTTAGGTTTATTGGTTTAAATGAAAGTCATGATGATTGGCTTAGGATTAGCATATTAATAGCACTGAAGGATTTCACATTTCGATAATGAGAAAACAATTGAAATATTTATCTGCATTGGAAGCAAACTGGGTGGCCCTTATTACTTGACATGAGCTCTGTCAGTTTGAAATGATACATGTTTAGTTGAAAATATTGTTGTTGAAGATTAGTAATTTGCTAGTTAGGACAAGTTTTAGCGGGATACCTCTTTGGAATGAAATGTCCTCAGATTACAGAGTTGACCTATGCACAAGTCACACATGAGAAAACTCTTGTAGCTTGTAGCTAAGTGAATTTCACTGTAAATAGCACTTAAATCTTATAGACTATGATGCAATAATTGAATCTGCTGTAGTTAAGCTCGGAAGTTAGAAGATGCTAAGTATGAGAATGCAGTTGTAAAAATACCTGAGCCAGTGGTTTTTGTGCTGTTGGTAAGAGTTTCTTGTGGCATTGTCATTTAGGCTATACTTGACAACTTTGACATTAATCATATATTTAGTTAATAGTTCTGATGCTACCCAATAACTCAAGTTAGCATGCTCAAGCCTGGTCAAGTTGATTCTGTAGTTATAAATAATTTTGTACCTTTTGGTAGTGAGTAACTTTTACTATTAATCAAGTTTTTTAGGCTTAAATTGATGACGAATGAGATTATAACTTTCATTAACTTCAAAGCTTTATTCCTTGAGCAATAGCCATATTGACTCAATTCTGGTTCGCTGACATTTAGGGACGGCCACCATGGTGTCTATACCTGACTTTGCTACAGTGGATGCTTCTTGTTAAAAGAGGGTTGTAGATTAATATTATTTTTGCTCATGAGATTTAAATTTTTAAGACTGATTACGAAGTTCTTACTATGTTAGTCCTTAGGGGTTGAGCATCTAACCCACAATCACTTTATTGCTAAGATTATCCCCTTTTTCTTTAATTTCTTCCACTTATGTTTTGACACCCCTACCTGCTATCGTACATGAAAATGTTTGCTTTGCTCTAGCATGCTAAGGAGCGGCCAACAACATTTAGTAGCAATTGGCCACCTTTTGTATGGACTATAAGAAAATTATCATATACACATAAAAGAGATGGAGCTGGACTGTGCTGATAATGGGTTGTCACTGGATCATAACTACAGAGCTCCAATTGATGATTGAATGATGCAAGAGCATTTTAGAATTTATCTGAATTGGTTATCTTGATATGTTTTTCTCAATGTTTGCTGTTTTTCTTTAGTTTGTAGTTAGTAAATATGTTTTTATTTAATTAAGTGGTCATGACTAGTGTGAGAATTTTTAACGAGTTTAAATGACTGGGATTAGATGGGGCCTATGTGTATCCTAGGGCTAGGATTAAAATCTGCCATAACCCTAGTATAAATAGTCTTCTAGACACATCAGGCAGCTGTGTTAGAGTGGAATATTATCTGTTAGTGGTTCTACAAACCCTTGTTTTCTGGTTCCAACTTCTATTTTGCTTCAATTTTAGTTTATTCTATTTGGTTTTACTATTTTGGTTTTACTATTTTGGTTTTCTTTTTACTGTTTCTACTTCCTTACTGCTTCATTGAATAAGCCCACTTAGCTGGAGCTAAAGAGCATTGATTGATTTCTTCAGTTTTTTATGTAAAGTATGCATTTATGTGCTTCAAATACTTCTAGGATTTGGCTATTGAATGAGCTCAATTATTTATCAGTATTAAGGACAATAGGAACTTTCTCTTAGAACTTCATAAAAGAAAAAGGAAGAAGAAGAAAAGAAAAATATTGGAAAAAGCTTTAAGAGGTGGATATTAAGGGCGAGATGAGTTATGTTAGAGACATTTTCTTTTTTAGTTTTTAATTTTTATCTAACTTTTTTATTCAAATCTGAGTTGTTAACCAATGTAATTTTGGGCATTTGTTGCATGAAGGCTGTAATAATTGTGTTTCTGCGAACTTTATACTTTAGGGTACTTTCAGTTATGCTAACATTGATGAGTGGAAGCGGAATCTAGCCATACTTTTACGTAATGACGAGAAACAGGAGTTGGTCTCGAGGGAGAAGAAGGACAGACGAGACTTTGAGCAAATAGCAGCTTTGGCAAGCAGAATGGGTTTGTATAGGTATCTCCCTTGATCAAAATAGATGTTTTTGTTTGTAAATTTGCTCTGAGCAATGATGGGGATTCCAATCTCAAATTATGTTTGGCAGCCATCTTTATTCCAAAGTTGCTGTCTTCAGTAAGGTCCCCCTGCCTAACTACAGATTTGACCTGGATGATAAGTGTCCACAGAGGGAGGTAATCTTGTAATTTTGTTCACTCTATGCTCTCTATTATGTTTACCTTATATGAAACACCAATACTACAATGTCACCTAATATTGGTGTTTTGCCAACAATATATATATATATATATATATGTAAGAATTGTTGTTTTTGGTCCTATTGTTATTTTTTATGTCGGACCATATGTGATTGATACGTTTTAATAATGGACACTTTTCTGATACATGTATGAAAATGCGTAGAAGTCTTCTGTTTAATATTTATTTCTCCAATTTTTCAATTTCCCAAATTGAGGTTAATAAATAAAATCGAGGTAAAAATTTAATAGTGAAATCCAACGAAGACCTGAGATCACATGTTACCATTGATTTCTAGTGTTATTGTCTCCATTTTAGATTTTTACGTTTACATATGTTCTGTTTTATGCATGTTGAGCACATTTTAGTTGATTTTATGGATTTCAAAAGCATGTGTGTGGGCCCAAGCTGTAACTTCTCCTCATTTTTGAAAAATGCCTTATTGCAGTGTATTTTTTTTTTTTTTGGGTCACTCTTATTGTAACTATATTGGTGCTTACTTCCTAGGTTGCCTTTTGTTGACTTGGTTATGCTGTGCATGTTTCTACGTGTGATTTATCCCAGTTTTATGCTATCCTAGCTTTTGGAAATTGCCATATTGATGTGTTCATATTGTGTCATCCTTATATCCTATGTTTATGATGGTGCTTCATAGGTTGCCTTTTATTGACTTTGATGGTACATGTTTCTTATATTTATTATGCTGAAGCTTTTAGTACTTGACAGGTGAACTTAAATTTTGGTTTGTTGAAGAGAGTTGATGCCCATCTTGGAGAGTACCTTTTTCAAAAATCTAGGACTAAGGAAAGCTTTTCGGACAATTGTTTCTCTAGATCAAGCAGTAATAGCAGTATAGTTACTGATGAAGGACTTTTTGAGCAGCCCGAGCCCTTGGCATTCAGCTCAGCTGTCATGGAGAAAATTCTTTGGCGGAGAGGTTTGCAGCTTCGTGATCAGCAACAAGCGTGGCAGGTTCATTTGACCTTGACAATTGTGCATATAAACTTTTGCTATTGCCTACTCATTATGTCTCTTATGCATTTATTATGTTAGAATATTGATGATTATCGTGCTTCGCTGCTATTTGATTATTGGATAAAGTATAAAAAAGCCCCTGTACTTGATTAAATCTCTCATAAGCCCCCATCCTTTGCAAGCAGTTAAGCCCCTATTCTTTGCAAGCAATTAAGCCCCTTACCTGCCATATATACCTAATTGAGCCCTTCTTGGGCCAGGCGTGACACTAATGTCAATTAGCCTCAGCCCACTATGTAATATAATTGGCTACGTGGTAGATTAGGTGGAGAAAAAATTAATTAAATTTTAATAAATTGAACTGGGAAGAAAATTGTTTCTTTCCAAGTTAAATTTTAGTTCCAGGACATAGTTGTCTCCCACGTGGTCAATTGCATTACACAATGGGTTAAGGTTAATGGAAGATACTGTCATGTCGGTCACGTTACACTTTTCCTTCCCAAGAGGGGTTATTGGGTTTAAATAACAATAAAGAGGCTAAATTGATTGCAATAAGAGGTGGGCTCATGTGATGGATTCTATTAAGTATGAGGGCTTTTTTTGTATTTTAGCCTTTATTATTCAAAATTTTCCCATTCAATTGCCTTTAGGGTGTCTGGCGCACACTAGATCAGAGTGTTGATTTGCCTAGGTTTAGGCAGACTGGCATCGATTTGCCTTGGAGTGCCAATCTGCTGTACAGGCATCAGTTGGCCCTTCCCCTTCCCCATCCCCTTCTTTCTCCTTCGTTCCCCTTCCTTTCTCTCCTCAATTCCCTTTGTATTTTTCATTTTTTTATTTTTTAATTCCAAAATTAAATTTGTTTTAAAAAGAAAAATGACGTGGCTATTTTAGACACATGGCATGTGCTTATTGGTTATATTTAGCCATGTCACATGTGACTGACAAAATTAGTAAATGTGCAAACTGATGTTGGGAATTATAGTTTGAATAACTTATTGCAAAATTTTATCGGTATCAAATTGACAGTTTTACTATAACTCAGGTACCAAATGTGTAATTAACCATTTACCTTATTTCTCTTAATCTTATATATATAATAACTTTTCTCTTTTATTATTCTTTTAGTTTATTTATTTTTTCTCTCACATCTTACTTTTCCTTCTATATGTTAATTATTTTTCTTTGTCCCACTTCCTACAACATTCTCAATTATTCTCTTCACTTATTTTTTCCTCATGTCTCAACAAAAGCAATGTTGTATTTTATTATTTTTCTTCTCATTTGTCCACCTTTCATTCTTCTCGCAAGTGTTCCCAAGCTCCCCATCCCTTGTCCCTTTCTCAGTTTCACCCGCTAGAACCAGCCTTCTTTCCTTGTTTCTTTCTTTCTTATCTCCTTTGAGCTTTAATTATGGATTCTCTCTCAAAGCTTTTTCCCACTTCTTGGTCTAGAAGTTTCTATGTCTCTTCCTCCTTGATTTTAACCCTTAAGCCAACTCTAAAACACCTATCACCATTCTTTCTTTCTTTTTTTAATTTATTTCTTCTATTATATCAATTAATTTGATTAATTGGGCGATAATGAGTTTATTATTTGAAATGAAAGGTTGATTTAGATATCTTAGGGCCTTGTATATTTATACTTTGTTGCCAAATGGGCAAATATAGGGTAAGTGAAAGGAGTAGGTTTGAAAATATGTTACATACGTAAAATTTATTCGTATATATAGTGTCCTGTGATATTTACATTGCTTGTCCATAATACATGTTTGAAACTAATTTTCATACTCATTGTGTTTTGATTTGAAGATATGAAAATATAACAATTTTCAAACAGAGAAGTTATTTTAGGTAACAAATAAACAGAGAAAATAAGTATTTGTATGAAAAAGTTATATATATTTAAATCAAATGCATTTTCCTAGAAAAGAAAATTTTTGACAATTAAAATATTTATTTTAATTAAGGATTGGACAAACAATTTTCGAGAAAGTATATGCTAAATAAACAATTTCGAAATCTTAAGGGGATAAAGTATAAATAAGTAATTAAAACAAAAAAAATTCTTAATAGGCTTGATAGTAATTTAGAAAAAGTCAAGGGGCGTATGGCCTCTCTAGCCTTCAAACCTCTCTGGTGGGTCTTGTCTCCTTACTGACTATGAGAGTTCCTTTTGTAAGGTAGCTGAGGTAGCGTTGCATTGTAGTAACAGCTCCAGTAAGAGAGAAAAGGCAGTGAGGAATAGTGGTAAATATTAAAGAGCCTTGGTACCAAGGGGAAGGTGATGGAAAGATGGGCAAAGGGAGGATGCCTTTTGAACAAGATAGTGGAAAGGAGGCGCTCCTCGATATGAGATGAATATAAGCGTAATGAATATGAGAAATAAAGTTAGTGAGAGAAGCTCTGAATAGAGTGAATGCTCACTTCTACAAAAATCTTGCTTCAAATTATAGGGAAAGGCTATTTAACGGTTGAGAACTTTTGTAATTTAATGAGAAGGTTACAATTGGCAACTAAATAGAATGGTGTCAAATGTGATACCTGACTCTATCAGAATGGTGAAGAAACAAGCGTTCGTTAATGAGCTGTACTTTGAGCCCACCAAACAAAACTCTTATAAGCATCCCAAGTTTTTGAGTTTAATTGTAGGACCCTACCACTTATCCTAGAGTTAAGCACAAATCGGTTATGTAAATATTGTCTGTGAATAAATGTAAGACGAACGATATAAGAATTAACTTGTAGATTATGTAAAATAATAATAAATTAATATGATGACCAAATCATGCATCTAGATTTTTCCCCCTACCTGGAATCTCTTGCAAAGGAATTCACATGCATCAAAGAGAATAGTAGTGAAACATTTTAAAATTTGTACAAGGAGGGGCATATGAATAATCTCAAATATAAATATATTTATCCAAGAGTTTGCAAATAAATAAATGGAGGACATCATAAGAAGTATGCAAAGAAATAATAAAATGACATCCCAATCAGTTATAATAATAGATTGCTCACTCTTGATCTCTTACACATCCCATTACTATAGTGTAACACGACCTCACTACCCTTACAAAAAGAACCCTCTGCTCCTACCTAAGCCTTTTTCCCTTTATTCTGCTGATATTCTCCAAAATGGCAAACATAAAGAATAAGAAGGGGAGAAAAGTCAAGATCTTGAGGCACCAAAGCCAGTGGGCTGCAAAACAATTCTTTGGTTCCTTCAAGCACCTTCTATTATAGTAATAGATTTGGTAGGGAACGATGTGATTAACCAAACAAAAACTTCATAGATGCTTTTCACAACTTGATTCTAATTTAATCCTTATTGAAAGATAGAGGTCTTAATTTTATGTTGGCACTGCATGTGGAAGAACAAGGCAGAATGGTGAAGCATTGTTTGCTTCACTTATGCACATTTTGGCCACAATGGTTTGTTGTGCTACAACAACTCCTGATTGAAGAACAAAATTGAAAAATTCCAGGCATGGGGAAAGTGAAATGCATCCCTAAGTCTAATGACCAAATTGAAATGGAATACATGTTAGTTGTATCTAGGTACATAGGCAGTAATAGTGAAAACGACTAGTTAAAAGCCATCAGGATGACTAAAGGTGTGGAAAAAGAGTTAAAAAAACTTATGTCTGGCTATTGAAATATAGAAGTAGGTGTTGTGTGATCAGCTGATGAAATCCATTTAGTTTCCAGCTGAAGGAACTTTAAGGAGCATGTTGAAGCTTTTTAAGGTTTGGGTGCTGGGGACTACAAAATCTGAGCAGAACAGTTTTAGGTTTTAGCATTTTTTACATGTTCTTAATTTCGAACTTAAAGTATTTTCAATTTAGCAATCAAGATTCCTCTTGAGACAATTTGGTGTAATGCAAGCTGCAAAACCTCAATGGTTGAGTTTAAAAGAAAAAACCTCAATGGTGGAAGTAGCTACGAGTTCTCTGTAGTGAATATTTTTTTCCTATATAAACCTTTTGAGTCCTTTTCTTATCATCTATGATTATGAATATTGATGTAATGCTGGTTTGAACTATTTTGATTTTGTGTTTTTCCCCTGCATTCATGTTTTGTAGGAGTCTCTTGAGGGGACAAGAATGCTAGAATTTCGTCAAAGTCTTCCTGCTTACAAAGAGAAGGATGCGATATTGTCAGTCATTTTGCAGAACCAGGTGTGTTAACTTCAGCATTCATTTATAAAATATTATAAAATAAATTAAACTTTGTGTTTAGTTGTTTGCCTCTGCTGTAAACTAGTGGTAGAAGACTGTTTTATTCATGAACATATGGGGTTCCACTGGGGCAGAAATGAGCTGAGCCGCTCATTCAGGCTCAACTCATTAAGAAACTCTGCTTTGGATTGCTCATTCTTTAAATGGATTGAGCTTGAGCCTATATTGGCCTTCTTCACTTAAATGAGCAGAATTTGATATTATGGGATTCAGCTGGAAAGGCCCAAGTGGAACTAGTTTAGTAACTATTATAATTGCAGTAATTGCCTGTAATGGCCTGGATTTTAAACTAATGAAATAATTTTCGCTTCTATATTTTTAACCTCTTTAAAGTTTACATTTTTGGTTAGGGCTTTTTATTTGTATTTTAAAAAAAAAGTTATACCATTTTTACGTTCTGGTTTTCTCAGCATAAATTTGAGTTCAAGCTTGTATCATCCTATAAGAAACTGACAAAGACTGAGCTTTAGCTTCCATGAATCCCCTTCAAATGAGCTTGAGCTTAAATAATGTTCTGTGCTGGGGTCCAACTCAAGCTTGGGCTAGCTTGAACATTTGATACTAAGCTCCTGCTCAGCTTGTTAGTATTAGTTAGCTCAGCTCAGTTACACCCTTATGTTTCATCTTTTAACTTAGTTATCTTTAAATTTCCTATACATTGACAGTGAATTATGCTGTAGAAGAATAGTATACTTGCCCCGCATGGTCTCCATATTCTGCTTTTTCCAGCTTACTTATTGATGTCTTTCTTGTTTATATTGTGAAGCAAAAGAGAGAGTTGATTATTTACCTATTTGTCTGCTTCATCAAATTGGAGTTGCACATTCTAATTTGATTTCCAATTGTTAATGCACATTCTTGCGAAGTACTACACCCTATTTCTGGTTTTCTGATATTTAAAGCATACCTTGACTTAGCTATAAGTTGCCTTCTTTCTCTTTATCCTTCTCATTTGGGAGAAGGTTGTTGATTATTTGGTTGAATGCTACATATTTTAAGGTCTGTCTGTGTTGCCCTGGGGGGTGGGGAATGGGAAGAGAAACTCTAAGAGCAGGTTTTTCAAATTTCTTTTCAGTGTAATGCATTTGTAGTACATCAGCAGCTTCTGGAAAATGTGGTGACTGTTATAGAGTCGCTTCCTTGTGAAGTACTCAAGTTTCAGTCCACTAAATTTTATAGAAGCCCATTGCTGGTAGAGGTGATGACTCTTAGGCTAGGATGCTTTATATGCTAAGTTTGTTTAGAGTTGAGTGCACCGCGTACTTGGGATACTTGCAAAGCTAGTGCATTTCATTGTATTGGTCCTTTTTTTCCCTAGTTAAGTAATCTTGGCTGCATTTGGTTGTTGCTTTTGCTACTTGAGCTGTACTGTTTACCTTTTGCTTCCTCTAAAGTTGTAATAAAGTAAAAGGTTGAAGTCAAAATCATAATTGATTAAAAATTGAGCAAATGGCTAAATATAAAGGGAAATTCTTCCAAAAATTGTTCCAGTTAAAAGCAAAATCCTGTATTTTGCTATTTAATAACCCAAATTTTTATTTTAATTCTTTAAAAACTTTAGTTGCTTTTGTATCCAAATACAGCTTCTACTTTTTACTTTCAAAAGTTAAAAGCAAGTTGCCAGAGCAGCAGCCTAACAAAACCCTAGTCAACTGAATGGGACTTCTCTGTGGATATTTATGCTGACAAAGCATGTAAAAATCTTTGCGTGTCATACTTTAGTATGTATTATCTAGTGGCGAGCTAACTGGTTGCTTTATTTCCACAGAGTTGGTGCGTCACTTCAATTATGGAGACTGATGTTATGTTTTTCTTATTTGTTTTTAATCATAAAATTTTGTATTTGCAGGTTGTTATCATCTCAGGTGAAACTGGGTGTGGCAAGACGACACAAATTCCCCAATTTATTTTAGAATCTGAAATAGATTCTGTTCGTGGAGCTGTTTGTAGCATTATATGTACACAACCCAGGCGAATATCTGCTATATCTGTTTCAGAAAGAGTTGCTTCAGAGAGAGGAGAGAAATTGGGTGAATCTGTTAGTTTCTGACAGAAATAGTTACCTAGGATACTTACCTTTTCTTAGTTAAAATTTTTCCATACAATTGAGTAAAATTTCTCTCTTTCTTGGCTTTATTTGAAGGTTGGATATAAAGTACGGCTTGAGGGTATGAAAGGGAGGGATACCCGCCTTCTCTTTTGCACCACAGGCATTTTGTTGAGAAGGCTGCTTGTTGATAGAAATTTAAAAGGTGTAACGCACGTCATTGTGGATGAGATTCATGAACGTGGGATGAATGAAGGTAATATGTGCAATTGGTGTTTAAATTGTGGTGTTAGTTAATTCTGATTTCTAATATGATAATAAAAATATCAGATTTCCTGCTCATTGTCCTTAAAGATCTCCTACCCCGCCGCCCGGAATTAAGGCTGATTTTGATGAGCGCAACTCTAGATGCTGAGCTTTTCTCATCATATTTTGGTGGGGCTCCTTTAATCCACATTCCTGTAAGTTAAAACTTAAAGCAACCAGTAGTTTCATCCCAGTAAGAAGATTGATTTGGTCTTATTTGGTATTCTAATGGCTTCTAATGCACTTTTCATGTATGTGCTAGTTGAGATATAATGAAAGATTTTTAAATGATTGTTGTGTATATAAAATTGTTTAAGTCATAAATTTTTTTTTTTGTTTTCTTTCATTCCTGTTTTTGTGCAAGCATGGAAGAACATCCCTTGTAAGTGTTTCTAAACTCTTAAGTTTTCATTCCAAATGTGCATTTAGATATGAATGAAACACTTTTGCCACAGATGGCTAGTTACTGTTTTTCATCCTTTATTCTGATGCTCAATGTTTTATGAGGAAACATCTTTAGCTAGTTTGGTTAGCTGTGAAACCTCCTACCAGGTCATATGTTCTTTTGCCTGCTTTTCATTTGGCTCCTTCCATATTTACACAGATTTTGTACTTCTATGTTACAGTGATGACTTAATTCTCCGCATGGCTCCTCGTTATATTTACACTGGTTCTGTACTTTTACATACAGTATGACTTTATTCTCTCCTCTCATTTAACCTAACAATATTTTCCCATCTTTCTCCTTCTATGTCCTCCGCATCTCCCTGTTTCAGGTGCTGATGGTTTTACTTTTTGGCCTTTCAGCTTTTGATTTTTCTTTTTGACCTTTTAGGTTTTCTGATTAAGAGATAAGTTTGCTTTTGATAGTTCCCTATCATGTTTAAATTAGAGTTTTGATGTTCTTGCGTATTATTTTTCAAGGCATTGATTCAGAATGTATATCGCTAGTCTTAGGTTCTTCTAGTTTCAACTTGTTTTCTGGAATACTTCTCCAGCATGAACAGCGTTAGAAGTTTTTGGCATAATGCGTGGCTTAATTTCTTTTTTGCTTTCTTGTTCTAATTTAGGGTTTTACGTACCCAGTTCAAGCACATTTTTTGGAGAATATTTTGGAGATGACAGATTACAGGTTAACTCCATATAATCAAATTGATGATTACGGTCAAGAAAGGATGTGGAAAATGAGCAAGCAAGCACCAAGAAAGAGGAAGAGTCAAATTGCCTCCACTGTTGAGGTACGCAAACTTCTTTTTGCTGCTTTTTCCCCAATGTGTACTGTGATTTCTTTTTCTTTTTTAATTTTGGATATATACAATAGGATGCACTCCGGGCTGCGGATTTTAAGGATTTTAGGCCTCAGACTCGGGAGTCTTTGTCATGTTGGAATCCTGATTGCATTGGTTTTAATCTCATAGAATATCTTTTATCCTACATCTGTGAGAATGAAAGGCCTGGTGCTGTTCTAGTTTTTATGACCGGGTGGGATGACATAAGTTCTATGAAGGATAAGCTGCTAGCTCATCCTATCCTTGGAGATCCTAGCCGAGTTTTGTTGCTTACTTGCCATGGTTCTATGGCCAGTTCTGAGCAGGTAATTTTCTTTCATTGTTTAGTGTATATTCTAAGATCTCATGTCCTTGCTGGTTGTTTTGCTATTCTTTCTTTTAACTTTCCATTTAAAAATAAAAGAATCTAAATAGATATGTGGGGATTCTTGCAGAAGTTAATTTTTCAAGAGCCTGAAGAGGAAGTGAGAAAAATCGTGTTAACTACTAATATTGCTGAGACAAGCATCACCATTAATGATGTTGTTTTTGTTCTTGATTGTGGAAAAGCAAAAGAGACATCCTACGATGCACTGAATAACACTCCTTGTTTGCTACCATCATGGATTTCCAAGGTTTCTGCTCAACAAGTAAGGCTACCATCTCATTAAATATTTGATCTCTTTGATGGAGGTTAACATTGACCAGTAATAATTTGTCTTTGCTCTATCTTGAAAGTTGTCTCGTAAAATCTGGTTCTCGGTGAATGGTTATTTTGTTGCCTTTAATTTGAAGTTTTCTTTCTGTTAAGCATACTTGCATTAGGCTATTGATATTTGGCATTATAATTTGTAGCAGGTGCTGTTTAGGGATGGTATTTTTTTTTCTTCTTTGAGTACTTGAAAATAAAATTTGTCATATAAAACCATTTTGTTGACTCGACATTTTTGAATGCTAGTCAGTTGGACATAAGATTGTCTTTGGATACTGCATCTTGGTGTCTGATGTGGAACATGTGGAAGGAGAGAAATAGACGAAAATTTGAGGTAGAGGCCTTGTTAGGTACTTAAAATTTCAGTTTTTGGTTGGCCTATATGCCTGTCTTTTTTATGGTGTTCAAACTTATTTCATAAGCCTTAATGCTTTGAGGGGCAGGGTTTACTGCATGCATAGGCCTTCACAGAATGGGAACGGTAATGTAAGTCGTTACCTATCTGGACAGTGGTACTTTTTTAGATTGTTAAGATTTTTTTTTTTCCTTTTTTTTATTTGAATTTATTTAATTAAATGGGATAATTACATTAAATTAAATTTTAAAATTCAAATTGATTGACTCCAAAGCTGATGGCTATTCCTAGAAACCTTTTTTTTTAAAATGTAAATAAAGTTTGGAGGATATTTTTGTAGTAGAATTAAGAATTATACAAACTTTGTTGCTGCGCCCTCCTTCACCTGTAGCCTAGTAGTATACAAAAATAAAAGAAATAAGTTAAAACTAAAAGCTGTTGTCCTCAATTTTTCTTTCTCCAATGTCTCTTGCCCTTTGGAAGTTGAGATGGGTACTTCCAATTTCAGCTCTTTACTTCTCAAACCGATGGATTGCTTAATTGTGCAGATCAGATCACAAACGATCTGCACTTGTGATCGTGCAATCCAATTCTAATTTTAGAGGGGGGGTAAGCGAATTTTGGTAACTCTGGCATAGGCTTTCTGTCTGCTGGAAAGGGCCCACCTAAACCTCACAAAGAGCACTGTTTTACATATAAAGAGATACCATCATGGACTGATGCTATTTAAAATGAGAATATAATTTGGCTAAAATATTTAACATCAGATAGTTTATAGTGGGGTAAGAATTGTCTCAGGCCATCCTTAAGTGTTTATTAGGTCAGGTGCAGATATAGATGTGTGGTTTGTCTGAACTTGTATGGTCCAATGCTACAGGCTTTACTTTCAAGGCATCAATGATCACTTATTTATCCACCAACTGCAGTGTAGATTCTACATATGTAGTAAGTTGAAGATGCATCTCATTTTACTCTATTTATTATTAAACTAGAGGAAGAACATCTCTAGCTTTCTACTTATCTTCCATTTGACATATTCCTGCTTGCCTAAAAGCTTGGCTAAGACATAATTTTAAGCCTACTCCATGTTTTGAACAACCAGGTGCTTTAGCTTTTGAAGGTTTCATATAGCATTGGAATTCTTTTATTCAGATAGAAAGTCTAATTAGGTTAAGCTAGTTTTACTTCATCAAATAGATTGCTTCTTGTGGAGAATCTAGTTGAAATCCATGTGACCAGAGAAACACTAAACAGGTCTTGCATTAGTTTTGGTAGTCTGTAATCTGAAACTTTAAAGAGGTTGATGGGATTTATTCAGGTGCTAGAATGTCTCCCTGATGGGGTTGGGTACGGAGGAAAGTGGGTTTCTTTTTCCATCCTAACTTGGATGTTGGGCACTGCAGGGTTGAGCTAAATTTTGATTGAGCCAGATTGATATGTAAAGTGGAATTATGTTATGTATCAGATGCTTGAGGGAGAAGGAAACCTCTTGGTTTATTAAAGTTTTTCTTACTGAAGTACATTTAATGACTTAATCTCTAGTACCCCACTGAGTCAGATAAGCCTAAAGAACTTCAAAAGATAATAAGCAAATGATATAACTTCGAAGTGATAATATATCTAGAGATAAATCAAATTATTATCAGGAAAATAACCAACTAAATTTTAATAACTAAATCTAAAAAATTACATATGTAACAAATCAGAAGCTATTCAAAATTGTTCTTGCTGATTTTCTCCAAGAATGATGTTTAAGCTATGGATTCTCTTCTGTTGCTTCAATCCTTCTTCAGAGAAATGTATGATGTTCATATCTTATTCTATAATTCATTGATTGTGCTAAGGATGGAATTGTTGATGAGCTGCAGAGGCTTGAGATATATAAATAGGAGTATGATTATATATACAGGAATTCTACCTTATTTACACTGGAGTATAAAGGGGGAAATGGCATCCTTTCTGAAGTAGTGGAACATGTCGACAGATGATAATTTGAGGTTTTAACTAGTCTGTGTTCTAGTTCTTCTTTTCTATTTGCTTGCTTTCTCATATTTTTGGTTCTTTATTTGTGCCATATGTGAATGGCACTCCATTTCTTTGGCTTATGTAATGAATTTATTACTTATTTCCAGTGCACTTATCTCTGCTGTTAGAACTCTTGTTGGCATTTGAGGTGGAGGAAAGAGTTTAATGAAGCATTAAAATTGTTTTTAGATATTTGAACTAACTCCTGCAAAGCTCGTCATATCATTGACCTAAACCTTATTCCTTACCATGTGGTGAGAGCTGATTGTTCCACTTTTTGAAGACTTCACTTGGGATTGTACTATGTCAGTCATGATTTCTTTGTTTGGTGTTGTACTAGAATATCAGTCACAATCACAACGGTGCATCTGCCTCTAGAGAGGATTATTAATTTTGTTGACTTTCCCTATTCTTATCGATTTCATGGTTCTGAATGGGTTAGAGAGTTGATATCAATCAACTTGATCCCTTATTCGGTCCCATGAGAATATCATGTTTTGTCATAAAACTAAGTCATTGTCAAATGTATCAATTTAGAATAACAGCATTTATAATTGAATGGATTGGGTAGTTACTTTTTAGAATGGAATTTTGAGTTTTGGAATTTGATTAAATAGATAATATAAATATAAAGGAAAAACAATGAGTTTATAGATAGAAACAGAAAAGGATGGAGAAAAATATGATATTGATGTCATTAGGTTTGTAAAAATGTACAGATGTCACTAATAGGACTGTCATGTAGTAGGGTTTTCTGTTACGCTTGGATTTCCCCCAGTCATCTGGTAATTTCTAGGTGATGTAGACTGTGGTTCAGTTTCAGTTTCATTCGACATTTCGTGCTACATTTTTGGTGTCTGCTACTTAACCTGATTGAGCTGGTAGTTAATGAATGGAATAACATGTTAAGCTGATGGAGGCACTTAATGTGAACAAACCATTCCAATAAAATACAGATCTAGTATTAAGATTCATTTAGGAATAACTTTTGTGGTAAATCAATGTCTAGTCTAACAATAGGAATAAATGCCGATGGCTGGTTATAACTTCTGATTTTTTTTTAGTGAATTCCTGAAACCTTTAGACATTCAGAGTTATGTTGTATGATGTATTTATCAAGTCAAGCATTGTTACCTTGGTGCACAAAGCAAATGTTTTCTTTGGTTCTGGTAGTTATCCAGCCATGTTGAGACACTTTATTTCCTGTTCATCACTTTAACAAGATTTGCTTTATTAACTTGATCATTTAAAGAATCTTCAAGAAAATGAGACCAATTTGCCTTTATTCAGATTCACCCCATGTTCATCTTTCATAACTCTAAAATTGATTTTTTCTTCTTTTCCATGTTGATTTTGAGTAGGTGAACATTTACTGCAAGCTTTGATGATAACATGAACTGAAGAGATATATTAATATTCAATCATACTGCTATTTTTTTGTTTAAAAAGGAACTTCTTTTCATTAGGTAGAGAATCATAATTTCATAATTGTTTTTGGGCATGCATTTGACATGCAATGGATCTCTCTCTTTCGTTCTTTATTCTCATTTGTTTATCCGTACATTGGAGAGAAATTCTTAAATGAAACAAGTCACTCTTGCTGCTTGTTGATTATGCATCCGTTTCGCTGGGTAATTATTGGTTTGTGCATGGATGTCTACATAGAGAAGAGGAAGAGCCGGCCGAGTTCAACCCGGAGAATGTTACCATCTCTATCCTCGATGCGTATATGATGCCTTCAGTGAATATCAATTACCTGAAATTTTGAGAACACCTTTGCAGTCTCTTTGTCTGCAAATCAAAAGTTTGAAGCTGGGAAGTATATCTGAATTCCTATCAAGGGCGTTGCAGTCACCAGAGTTACTAGCGGTAGTGGTTCATTTGATATATTGGTTTTACTTTTATTCTATTTTCAATATCATATGAGAAAACAAGCACTTTCCACCTTATAAGTTTTCAATTGAAGTAATTATCAAAGGCCTGGTTTACTGCTTGTGCATGAATGTAGACATTCTATACTTGTATGTTCCTCCTGCTACCATTTTTATTTGATTAAACTGTGATTGCAGGTTCAAAATGCCATTGAATATTTAAAAATCATTGGTGCTTTGGATGAGAATGAAAATCTGACTGTGTTGGGTTGGTAGACACTTATATTTGCTTTTCCAGATTGATGCTTTTTAGGTTTTTGATAATTAGTTTGAAACTGTAGTCTCATTTGGTTTAACTTGCTTGACAGGGCATTATTTGACTATGCTTCCAATGGAGCCAAAACTTGGGAAGATGCTAATACTAGGTGCTATTCTTAATTGCCTGGATCCTGTCTTAACTATCGTTGCTGGTCTTAGTGTTCGAGATCCATTTTTGACACCATTGGACAAGAAAGATGTTAGTCTAATTTGCTTTTACCTTATGCCTCTTTCTAAGATTATAGTCAAAGCATGAACCTGTTTTTTTTACTCTTCTTTTTGGTTGACTCTCTGTTTCGATTGATTGCATATTTACTGGTATTTTTTTTTTTTTTTTGATGGACTGAAGTCATTCATTGTTCAAACAATAGTCTTCTAATTAGTAGTTCTGCAGATGATAAAGGATGGGATGGGTGGAATCTACCTATAGGGCCTGTGGTTGGCTTATGTTTCAGAAAACTAAATTTTATGGTTAAAGTGGCATAAATAGTTTTATTGTTATAGATATAATACGGATAGAATTAATATCGTTTTTAATAGCTGTAAGTGCATGAAAACAAGAAGAAAGGATTTTCTGGCTGCAATAGAAAATTAAAAAATAAAAAGGGCGAAGAGTTATAAAAGAGAAAGTTGATGGTGTGTTAGTGGATTAATTCAAGGTTATAGGGTTTGATTAAATAGGATCCTCATTTTATGGTTTCTTTGACGAGAAGAACCAGATATGATTGCATAGATTTTGTTTAAGAGGGCTTCCCCTCTGCACATAAAAAATTTTAAATTGCTTAAATTACATAACAAAGAAAAAGTAAAGTTCTTCTGTTACTGTGCTGGCAGCTGCTTATGTTACCTTCTTCTACTGGTGTTTTACCATCATTACTACTTGATTGATCACAATGATATTAGCAGAAGATATAACTTGTAAAGGTCTCAGCATGAGGAGCAAAGAAGCAACTTAATAAAAACAGAATGAACAAATAACTATTTAGTTTCCAACCAAAAGCTGCTGAAATAAGCGATTACTTCACTGAACAAAATGTTGACACTAGAAAGCACAGAACAACAGGAGTGTAACTACAGAAACACAAAACACAAGAAGTCTGTAACTAGAGAAACTGACACAACAATGAAACTGTAACCCATTATTCTTAAGGCGGTGGGATGTTTTGCTAGCAATTAGAATCTTTTGCAGACAACTAGAACTTCATCTCATGTAGAATGGTAGAATCTCAATTTATCCTTTGTTTCTAAGAAATCGAGTTTCAGTTAAATTGCAATAGTCTTAAGAGGTTATTAATATTTGAACTGCAGGGGTTATTAATTATGTGCAAGAATGGAATCTGAAAGAACATACAACCTGTATTATTTACCACCTAAGAGTCAACCTAAATCAGACATGTAGATTTGTTGAAATTTTTTTCTTTTACTTAAAAAACCTAAGAAACAACACTCAATTGGAAAGCTGTTTAAGCTTCCAATTTTTAATGACCAAGAAGTATTTCAAGGTTTCTTATGATGGCTAGGGCTTATGAAGTGATGTAGTCCAAAGGTTTAGCGCAATTAGGACTTGAATGGGGTTGAACGGCATTCTGCGGAATATATGACTCATGCTCCTTTAGGTTCTTTATATATTCTATAGGTGGCATAGCTACCGAGATCAATGCAGGTAATTATGTCTCTCCGAGAAGTTGGTGAGCTACCTCTCATTTTGTTCTAGGGTTCTTCCTATTCGTAAGGCTTTACTTGTTTTGGATTTGTATAGTACTATACTATATGGTAATAGTATATAATAGTATAAATATATATTTATACTATTACTATACAAATTGGTACTATATTGAAATGAAATCGAAATAAGCGCAATGTAAATAGGATTAATTACAATCAATAAATCTTAAAACGCAACATGTAAACACAGCAAACAAACGAAACTAGACGATTCAATCAAACTGAATTGTTGTTTTGGAACAATAAAAAGATAATTGGGTTTAAAAAAACCTCTTGAATTAAAATTCAAAATAAATAAAGATAATAATAATAATAAGTCCTCTATACTAGCTAGTATAAATCCTAATCAAAATAGAAAGATTAGAATCCTACTCCTAATAAATATAAACCTAACCTACTAAAATCCTAATAAAGACAAAAAAAGAATCCCAAACTAAATTAAATAAAGAAAATAAAATTCTAAACCAACTAAAATACTAAATAAAATAGAATTCTAAATGTGTCTGCATCATTCCCCTTGGGCTAGAAAAAGACTCGGCCCTGATGAGTTGGCCTTGTAAAGTAGGTGTTCACATACTCCTCATAGATGTCTGGATCCACATACTGTCACGGTCCACACCAACCATTGGAACAATTCATCTGGTGTTTTGAAGGCTGTTTCCCATTCATCTCCACTCATTCTAATATGATAATATCCGATCTTCAAATTGATTTTTGAAAACACTCTGTAACCAACTAGTTGATCAAGCATCTCGTCAAATCAAGTAATATGAAAACGATACTTGACAGTAATCTGGTTTATGGCATAGCTGTCTGCACACATCGTCCATGAACCATCTTTCTTAAGGGCTAAGTTGGGCAAGCACAAGGACTTTTACTTTCATGCACCAGACCTTTCTCCAACAACTCCTCGACTTATCTTTGTACCTCAGCTCATGGCATTCTATATGCTGGCAGGTTTAGTAATGATGCTCTTAGTACCAAATCAATCGCATGCTGGATGCTCCTCAGAGGTGGTAGACTTTTTGGCAAAGCCTCATTAACCAACTCTCTAAACTTCTTTAATAATTTATGAGCTTCAATAGGATATTGAGGCGTTTTACACATCTGATCACTCTTCAAAAACTTAGTTACCAAAGCATACATAATTCCCATCTCACTACTTTCAACTTCAAAATTTTTAGTGGATAAATGCCCAATGATTTTATTGATTTTGTTACTTGTAGGGCTTCAAGTGGCTCTTTAAGAGGATATAAATTGTACCTATTGTTGTCCTTGTAAAAGGAGCAGGTATTTGGCTTCGTCTTATGATCCATATGGTGATCATAGAACTAAGGTCTACCAACAAGAATATGATCAACATCCATTGGCACAACATCAAATAAAGCCTCATCATTCAAGTTACATCCCATAGTAAATTTCACCAAAAATTGAGTAGTTACCGATACCTTGTGTCCTTTCTTTAGCCACCCAATGTTGTAAGGATGAGGATGTTTGCTTGTAGGAAGCTTCAATTTGTCTACTGTCTCTTTTGAAATAATATTTTCTATGCTTCCTCTATCAATGACAAGATCACACGTGTGCGAAAAATAGTTTGCCTCCAATCTTTCACTTCCTCATTGATTGATGTTGTCATCGCTCTTCGTACTACTTAGGACTCACCTTGTGTAAGATAAACATCGATTTCCTCTATCTCTTCATCATATTCATCATAAATTGGTTCTAACTCTTCCCTTAATTCCAATAAATTAACTCTTTGTTGTGGGCAAGCAAAAGAAGTATGTCCCTTCTCTCCACAAGTAAAACATCGAATTTGTGAATTGTTGCGTCCTTTATTTGTAGAAGAACCCGAATTGTTTTGTCCACCATAAGACATTATACTCTTGCCTTTATTGTTCTTTTCAACATTGGTCGCACCCTATTAGCTTTATTGGTTGTGGCAACCGCTCAATAATTTTGTTGGGATGTTTGATAACCTCGTTTTGCTTCAGAATTGCTTTGCCAATTGGTGCTATATAAGGGCTTTCTAGCTTCATAGCGTAAAACTTGATTTTTTGCTGCTAAAGCATATTGATGAACATCTTCTATGTTGTACAAAAGACCTATTCCCATCTCGTCTCTAATAGAATGACTCGAACCAACAAGATAACAAGAAGTAATTTCCTTGTTACTATCAGTTAGCCCAACCCAAATTGAAAGGTTATTGAACTCCAATGTATATAGCTCAACAGTCATTTTTTTGGCTTCAAACAATGAAACTTTTCCTATAATTCCGTAGTATAATCAGCAGGTAAAAATTGCTTTCGTAACTTACTTTTCACGTGCTCCCAAGTGCTGACTTTAAGGTTCTTTTGTCATGCACATCACTTTTCAACTCTCTTCCACCATTGAAGTGTAGTACTTCTCAATTTCAGATTTACAAATAACACTTTTCGATTTTCTGCCGTGGTTGTTCATTCGAAGTAATTTTCCAAATTGGCTTCCTAATTCAAATAATCCTCCACTTGAAATCAGCTACTTCAATCTTGATTCCTTCACCATTTAAATCAAGGGCATGTAGTAACAGCCCTTCAATCCAACTTTTGCCACTTGATTTGCAGGTCCATCTTCATGAAAGGGGGTTCTAATTGTCAAATTCATGATCATCCTCAAGATCTTGAATCTCAAAGTGGTTGTGGTAACCTTTCGGATTCTCCATTTGGGCTCCCATGGGTTCCTAGCACTACAAGGCTTGCACACCCTGGGTCAAGTCATTAATCATTCTCCACATCTCAACCAACTCAATTTTCTAGGACTGATTGCCTCTAACTCGATCTTTCCCTCAACCAACCATAGTCCCTTAGCTAAAAATTCTTATAGGATAGCAAGATCATTTGCTCTGATACCACTTGATGTAGCCAAAAGGTTTAAGACAATTAGAACTTAACAATTAGAGCTTGAATGGGGTTGATTGTGTTTGGAACAATGAAAAGATAATTGGGTTTAAAGAAACCTCTTGAAAAAAAATTTAGAATAAACAAAGATAATAATAATAATAATCATAATAAGCCCTCTAACAAGGATCATCTATTTATACTAGCTAGCATAAATCCTAATCAAATAGAAAGATTACAATCCTGCTCCTAATAAATAAAAACTTAACGTACTAAAATCCTAATAAAGATAGAAAAAGAATTACAAACTAAATAAAATAAAGAAAATAAAGTCCTAAACCAAATAAAATACTAAATAAAAAGGAATTCTAGATGCGCCTGTGTCATCAAGTTACATATTCACCAAGTTAAGAAAGTTTCTGGCTATTGATTGGTCTCTTTTTTTCTTTTGGTACATATGAGGAAGTCTGAAGGGAAAAGGGGATTCCAACCTTAGACCTCAATCTTTTTAATGAAGGGTAACAATTGTTGGGGCAAGCCTAGGTTGTTAGTTTTTTATGGGAGATAATTAAGTGCTAAGAACTTGCCAATCTTTGTGTGGTATGCTTGTCATGGCATTTGGCTTTTGATTGCAACTTGCATTTTTATTTTAGTATTTTTAAAAAGTTTATTGATGAGCAGTGTAAAAAGTATGATTAATTGGACCCTCAAAAGTTTAAGGGTCAAATGAGTTTAAAAATTGTGGAGGTCCCTTTTTATGTGCATAGAGCCTCAAAAGTTAAGGGTCAAATAAGTTTAAAATTTTAGAGGATCCTTTTGGTGTGCAATGACCACAAACAAGTGAACTAGGATGAAGTAGGCCTTGCAGAGGTGATTGGAGCTGGCTCTAGAGCACGAGTGTCATGGCTAGGAGTGAGCATTTGGTCGGTTCGGTGGTAAAAGTATAAAAACCAAAGTAACTGAAAAAATAATCGAAAATTTGACTAGCTTGGTCTTCCAACACTAGCTAAGTGCTCAACAAATGCAGAGATGGAACATCGAAGCAAGCAACAGAACACAACACAATAAATCTAAAAAGAAAATTTAAAAAGATAAATTAAAAACTTAAAGAAACTAACTTTAAAGAAAATGAATTATTGAAACTCTGGTGATTTAAAAAATAAGCTTTCCTTGGGAGTTGTGAGTTGCAGTTGAGGTAAGGTGGAGACTACACACCAAGGAGGCAGGATTTAGAGCCCAAAACTTGATGAATGTGGAGATCTTCAAATGCTAGAGGCTACTTGGCTAGAGCTATGGTGAAGAGAGAAAGAGTGTTATGTGGAGAGAGAAAAAGGGGGGTGAAGAGCTACGGTGGAGACAAAAGGCATTGGCATTGGTGCTGGCACTCAGGCAAAAGGAGCCTGATAGAGATAGGAGGTTGGCTGTAGGAAGAAAGAGGCTGATACAAGTTGGGTGGAGAAAATGAAACGTTACGGTTTGGGTTAGGTGGTCGGCTAAAGGGAAAAAAATTATTATTATATACTAAATATTAATTTATTTAAAAAGTTTAGAAAAATTATTTTTGGTCAAGTTTGGGTCTGCATTTCTGTTATCGAAAACTCATCAGCACAGTGGTGAGATTGAACATAGTGGTGGCAGTGAGATTGGTAGCCCAGTAGTGAGGTTGAGAGTTGCAATAGTGAGATTGAAACCAGCGGTTAGAAGAAATGTGTTCAGCAAAAGACAATGGTGGCAGTTAGGTGAGATGTGAGAAGAGAAAATGCCTATTAAGGACATCAAGCTGAAAATGTATAAATAAATTATTTTAATGTATATTTGGTATATTATTTGACTTTTTTTGAACTTAGAAAAATATTTCAAATAAAAAATATTGTTACATTGTTTTATATTAAATTAATTTGTAATATAATAATTAGTAAAATTATTTTCAAAAATATAAACCCATTATTTTATGTTAACACGTTAATATATTTGACATATACAAAGTTAAGAAAATATATAAAATAGTAATTATTTTCAAAAATTGATGATGATGATGACATATTTACGTTTTACACATAGGCGTAGAAGACAAAGGAAAAAAGTGTGGTGATTGTAAGGACATTTTTGTCACTAAACTATAACATGAAGGGTAAAAAAGTAACAAAAAATAAAATAAAGGATAAAATTGGAAAAAAGAAAAGGTCCAGTTTGATTGGAGCAACTGGACTCTTTGCCCCATGGTGCAATTAGGCATCCCACCACACGTATTGTGCGGTTGGACTGAACCAATCATGTCACACCAAGCTTTGCCGAACAGCATGGTGTGACACAATTGGCCCCAAAAGGTGCCAATAACATCCTGATGAGTGCGGCACAATCGGCCCCAAAAGGTGCCAATTACATCCTGATGAGTGCACTGAACAGGGCCTAAGTCAATTAAATTAAATCACAGCCCCAACTAGTATAAGCCAAAAACAGAAAACACTGTTCAGATTGCACCTAATTCAGTTTCTTTTTTCAGTTATTTCCATTTGAGCTGATTAATGCTCATCCCTAGCCATGGTAGGTGGGCTAGGTGGTAATGATAGGAAGCGTGAAGTGGAAGGTAGGTAGTAAGTAGGAATAACAACTAGGGAACAAGTACTTGGAGTGGCATGCTGGAAATAGCAACAACATGGAGTGGTACATGGGAAGTGGGAAACAAGTACCAGGACAAGAACAGAGATTGTATATATGGAAGTTGCGTGAAGGCTGCTTAGAGGTGTAATTATGCGGCCTGTAGGAAATGCCAGCTCATTTCTCATTAAAGGAAGCATGAATTCAAGTAATGGTTAAAAAATGTGGTGGAATAAGACACATGCGAGGCACTATTATACTCTGGAAAATGGTTAAGGAGCAAATGCTTAACATATTCCATATTTAGCCACCTAGCCAAACTCTCTACAACGTCCCATAATCTGGAGTTAACCCAAACTGCCACTTGTTCCAGGGTAAATCCACTAGCGTGGTTGTGAGTCCAATTCTTGCAAGACATGCTTAGGGACTATGATAAATTACTAAAACCATAATTGTCAAAAAATAATCTTCTACAAGAATAAAATAACCAAAAGAGATGGAGACTAATTTACACTAAGTGCATGCAATAGAACCTTGCCAATAGCAAATATTAGAGTGCATATTACAATCCTTTGTCCTCCTGGCAGCTTGCAGATGCTGCAAAATTGCAGTTTTCCCGTGATTACAGTGACCACCTTGCCCTTGTTCGTGCCTATGAGGGCTGGAAAGAAGCTGAGAAAGACCTTGCTGGATATGATTACTGCTGGAAAAATTTTCTTTCTGCACAATCAATGAAGGCTATTGAGTCTCTTCAGAAGGAGTTCCTTTCTTTGCTCAAGGATACTGGTCTTTTTGATGGCAATGCAACTAACTATAATGCATGGAGCTATGATCAGCAGCTCATCCGAGCAATTATTTGTTATGGACTGTATCCTGGAATTTGCTCTGTTGTGGTGAGTTTTTAGTTTTTTGTATCTCCTTAAGTTTTCAAAATTTTCTCCAAAGTCAGCTTCTCTATACTTCTCGTAATCATTGTGTAATCAAACTGAGGGCTTCATAAAGGTTTCCTAACCATACTGATAAACTTTCATGGCTACTTACTATGTGCTTACAAGTTCACAAGGATAGTCCAGCACTTTGAGCATAAGAGACCATATAATTTTCTTAGTAGAAATATCCATCAGCTGTTTCCTTAAATTTGCAGTTTCTGTTTATTTTCCATTTTTTCTTTTACTAATTTCCATTAAGTATTAACATATACTTATGTACAGCACAATGAGAAATCATTTTCACTAAAAACTATGGAGGATGGACCGGTGCTTCTATACTCAGTAAGTTTGTGCATCAAGCTATTGATTTTCTTCTGCTCAATATCAGAGTAAGCCATTGTACTCTGTTTCTTTCATGCTAATGTCCCTTTATGTTTTGTAGAACTCTGTTAATGCTCGGGAATCTAGAATTCCATATCCTTGGCTTGTTTTCAATGAGAAGATAAAAGTGAACTCTGTTTTCCTGCGGGATTCAACAGCTGTCTCTGATTCAGTGCTTCTCCTGTTTGGTGGGAGCATCTCAAGAGGAGATGTTGTAAGAGTTTCCCTTCTTTCCATAATTGTTACCATTGTTTTTTCTTCAAGTCATATGATCTCTCTGTTTTTTCTTTGTTTAAAATATTTTTCTGGCAGAATTATTTGCAGTATATAGTGGTTTAGTGGAATTATGTTCTTCTTTTAACAGGATGGACACTTGAAGATGTTGGGCGGATATTTGGAATTTTTCATGCAACCTGCTATAGCAGAAAAATATCAAACCATAAGGAGAGAATTTGATAAGCTGATTCAAAATAAAGTAAGTTAAACTCAGAGAGAATCAATCTTGCCTCGGAGATACAATGCTTATTTTGTTTCTGTTGTTTTCTTGTATGAAACTTTATCCTGCTTCCACATTAAAGTGAATACAAACATCTTCCATCCTGGCTAATTCTAGATCTTAACAATTTTGATAAATTCATTCCTGCTAATCAATGGTGAATGTGGGCAGTTACTGAATCCCCAAATGGTCCTACATTTCCATCACGAGCTTATTTCTGCTGTACGGTTGCTGGTTTCTGAGGATCAGTGTGATGGAAGATTTGTATTTGGCCGTCAGGTCCATAAACCAACAAAAATGCCTGTTATGCCACAACAGCCTACTTTGGTCTCAAGGACAGAGAGTGGACCCGGGGGTGATAATTCTAAAAGTCAGCTCCAAACACTGCTCACTAGAGCAGGATATGCTGCGCCAACCTATAAGACAAAGCAATTGAAAAACAATCAGTTCCGAGCCACTGTAGAGTTCAATGGTATGCAAATCATGGGACAGCCTTGCAACAACAAGAAGAGTGCAGAAAAAGATGCAGCAGCTGAGGCTCTGCAGTGGCTGATGGGTGGTACCCAGACAGGCCATGAATATATCAATCACATGTCGATGTTGCTGAAGAAAAGCAAGAGGGATCACTGAACTACCATGGCGCAAGTCTCCTATCGAGGGCTTTGTGAGGAACAATGATCCCTACAAATGAGGTGTAACCTTATTATTCTTGTGTCATGGTTAGATTGTCCCTTTTCCAAGGAAAATGAAGAAACTGGGTTGCTGCATGGAAAGCCATAAGTTAGACCATGTCACTGCCATCTTGTAGTTTTACTAACAAAGCAGAATCTGATGGAGTATTTGGTTTTCGCTTCTCGGTAAGTAGTTTGTCACTGCTTGTGGCCTGGAGACAGCTAACTGACAAAGGCTAAGTGGATTAGAATTTACCCATGTTGCACACTTGATGGTGTTGATCTTGGATTGAGACAGTTGATCAGGGACAACAAAACTTACAAATACCTTTCTTGGTTAGAAAGTGTGCATATGCAAAGTGTGGGGGAAGTTAGTTGATATCTTGCAGTATCGTATGCTTATAATCATTTTTTGTCAAAATTAATATCTGTATATAACTTGATAAAACAGTGTTGCTAGGTTTGTAATTCGTGAGAATTACTCTTCTCAGCATTATTGATTCACTCTTCCTTGTAAGAGACACTAGATTTATTTATTTCCATCTTGAGCCAATGGGGGACGTTCTTTCTTCATCCACGTTTTATAATGGAAAAGAGAGAGATTCATTTTGGTCTGGTCTATCTGAAGAGTTTGGTAGGTTCTTATGTCATCCAAAAGACATATATTAGGTAAAGTAAAGGTCTTATTTATAAGTTGAAGATGTGTTTCATCTCCTCTTGATATGGATTCGCAACATAGTGTAGAATTTGTTAGCCAAGGCAACAAGTCTCAGTCTAAGTCTTCTCTAGTAACTAAATTTTTATTTTATTTTGGTTTTAACTTGCTTGGCAAAAGCATATTTTAGATCTGGAGTGGATTTTGGCTATTGACTCGAATAGCTGAGAGGTTTTCTTGCGAAACAGGCATTAGCATCGAGATATCTTGTGAAGAAAGCAATTGGTGGAAAAGAGTGAGTGAAGAAAAAGATGCGGCTGAAATTGGGCAAGCAGGGACCAATGTTGATTTGTTAACTATTTTGTCGCCTCTGTCGTGTCGTGTCGCAAAGCTACAAATCACAGATGGGTTAAGTGATGTGACCCCAACACATTACTTATTCTAGAGTGGTCTACCTCGGTGTTGGGTTGCTCCAGGGGGCTCAGTCCTACAGTCACTCAGTTTCTGATGGAGGGGTGAAGATAAAAGAAAAAGGGTGGGGAAGGTGGGTGGATGGGTTAATAATAAGTAAAAACAGTTTATAAAAAGGTATAATAAAACTGTGTTCATGTCCGTGACCCCAAGTTGACTTGCAGCAGGTCATGTGACTGCCATAGGTAAGTGCATAAATATATGTAGTATATCCTTTGTTGGAGTTAAAACCGCTGAGGACGAGTCTTTGTTTCATCATACTCGTATTACTATAAAAATAAAAATCTGGAATTTCGTTCCCAAGGCCAAGTTTTGTTTGTGTTACAAGGAAGCATCCATAATGAATATGAAAGAGCTTCTTCAACTAGAAATCAGACAGACACGTTGAAATTGAAAGGCTTGAATTTTCTATATAATAATGCAAGCGTCTCTCTGGGCATTGCTGTCGGATGGACTGACGAGATAAATTATTATAGTTTTAGTAATTTAGAAAGGAGAGGAATCTGGGCCTGCTGGGGAAGGGCTGCGGTGTCCGTTGTCGAGACTCCTCATTTAAATTAAGGTTTGGAGAGGGAAATGGAGTGAGTCAGAAAGTGAGTGTCTGGAATTTAAGAGTTGTACTTGATGATGTTAAAATTGTTAAGGTTGGAGTGGACAATTAAGATTGCACCACACAAATTTTGATCCCAACAGCGTAACGACGCGTCCTCCTCGTCACGCTGTATCGATGCCGGAGTGTCGGGGCCATTCTGAATTGACCTAAAGTTAAAAGAAACATACATTTGGAATTGACACGAGTTGGTCCCTCCTTTTGTTTATCCACTTTTCCACTTCTATTTGTGCGTGTGTGTGTGGATGGCTTTGCAGCCCTGGGTTTGGGTTTTGGTTGTTGAGCATACAATCCCGTGGACTTGGCCAAATGCTACACCTCTGGCTCATCCTTGCCTACATATGGGGTCTGCGGGTGCTTTGTCTACCCAACTCACCCACAAATTGTCTAAAATCGACCTTCTCACACTTGCTACTTGCTATGCTTACATTTTGTCGCATCCCCCTTGCTTTCTTATACTTGTTGCTATCATTTTTCCATCTCTTCTTTTTCTTTTCCCAACATAAAATAATAATAATGGACATTGCAGTGTCAGTTGTTGTTGGACACTCTCTTTCCTTCTTATCTCTGTTTTGAGGTACGCAATTTGTTAAAAAGGAAGAAAACCCAGTGAGTGCAAGTTTGTAAAGTAAAGAGGCAGGAGCTTTAGTATCGTTGCATGCCTAATAATTAGGGTTTTAGGGTAGTCGTCACTACAAGAAGAATGTGAAAACATCGGAAGATGGTAACTTTAGAGAGGCATTGATAATTCCACAGCTAGCTTAGCTTTAGGAAGTAGTCAAAGGAAAGGAATTAATGGAAAACCCATCTTATGATTGATATCATCATTAAAATTACAAAAGCAAAGAAACAGCAAATACAAAAAAAGAAAAAATTAATTAATTAATTTCTAAAAGTTTTAGAGATTGGAAAATTCCACATGAGCTGTACACAATGCAAAGTGGGAGGCCCTGAATGGGCTGCCTTTGCATCCTTCCTTCCTTTTTCCTAGTAAGCTAAAAAGGACTTTGCACTATTGGTGGACCCCATCCTTGATAATTATTGATCAGGTTTTTCATTTATTTATTTAACTCAGTATTTTCATTCCCCCAGCTGGATTATTCTACCAACATCACTCATTTAATTTCACCTACTTATTCAGGTAGTTAACTGAACATCATATGGGTACTGTTCCCTACAGATAAATTGTACCCTTCACCTTATTTATTAATGGGAAACATATAAACCTGCATTCCAATATTAATTCAGAATGAGATTAGGTACAATTTCCAATTTTTTTTACTTTTTGTATTTTCTGAAAATGACGAGATGTGGTTATTTTTTTAAAAAAAAATTTAATTTTTCCTAAAAAAATAAAAAATAATAAAAATAATAATAATAAAGGAATAAATCTATTAATTTTTGTATGGTACCAATTAAAATTCAAATATTTATCCCCAAAATTATGGGTTGACAAATATTGTCTCTTTGTGCTTGTCTTTGGTTGCCACACTCTCTCTTTTTTATGCCGTGCCCATTTATAATTAGGTTGGCCCACTTTCATTATGGCAGAGGACGTTTTACCATGACCAAAAAATAAAAGAAAGATAAGAATATTATTCACCGGTCAAAGTTCGAACTTGATGTTTCTTTCTGTAATCTCCGTGTACCAGTTTTAGCCCCTTCATCTTCTTCTATACATTTTTTCTTTGGAATTAATTTTAAAATAATTAATGATTTAATTTGTATGATGTGCGATTTTTTCCGAAGTGGGTTAATTGACACATGGTATTATACAAAAATCATACTACTGTATGATTATTTTATTTCTAAAAAGAATCAGCTTTATAAATAAATTTTATTTTGTACTACTGTATGTCATGTGGTGGGAATTTTAATATCCTTATCAATTATTTTTAAATGGGTCCATAGCAAGAGTATACAATCTAAACTCATTAAAATTGAGATAAAAAAGACTAAAACCATCATTAAAATTGGTTAAATAAAAAGGTTGAAAACAGCAGTGGCGTTGGTCATATTCGATGACAATCTGCTTTTATATCCAAATCCATCCTGATGTCAACTGGTCAAGATTCGACATCTATTTGATCCCCTTTTATTCGTTGCATAGTAATTGGAAAAAGTTAAGCAACATTACATCTCCTAATAATTTTCCACATGATTTCCTTCGTACAAATCCTTTTTTCTTAATTTTTATTTTTTATTTTTTGTTTTTGTGCTTGACTGCCTGTTTGTGGTCCCTTTTTTTTTTTATTCTTTTTGGTTTACAATACAATATAATATAATATAGAGGATATATACGAGTGTATAGGTAGGCATAGGAATCTCTAATTCTCTTTTGTCCCCCACTATCCTTTTCGACTTGTCCCTTTTAGCCTTTGGTTTCGTGCTGGTCGCACCCAACATTTTGACCAATGCTTTCTTCCTTTCTCCTCAATCCAATTTAAATGACCTCTTGCTTCTTTTCCTTCTCTCTCCCCATGAATTTACTGCTGCCTTCCCCACCTCCTAATCAAATATGTTAAAACTTTTATTTTTCAAATTTCTACTTCCAAGTTTAAAATATTTACACTAAGATTAGAAAATATTTGTATAATTCAAAATTTTCATGTGAAAAAATTGTGTTAAAATCGTTTAAAATTCAAAAAAAAAAAATAAACGCGTACAAATGCAAACACATATCAATCAATAATTTTTATTTATAACAAAAATTCTTGAGAATAAAGTGATGTTAAAAAAATCAAGTCACGAATCCATATTTTCAATTTAAAAATATTGCCTTATAGATAAAAGAAGTCCCTTGTTGATGTGATCTATTATATTGTACCATACTCAATTATGCAATGTCTTTATTATATTAATTTTTTTTATTCATAGAGAAAAGAGATTATACCTTAATCAAAGTTTATCTCGATCTTGGTATCTTTTATAGGGTTCAAATCAATGAAAATTTTAACCTACTCTTATATCACTTCTTGCAGGCTCAGGTTTCCAAGTCAAAAACATAAATGATAATTAACAATCACCAGTTACTTTTTTTTAATGTTTGAATTTAAAATTTTACCATGTCGTGTATAGGTGTTCGAATTCAAATTTCTCCATTCTAAAATTCGTATCTTATACAAAAAACATGTTTTATTTTACCAACTTTAAAAGTTATTTTTAGAACTAGTTTCTTGACCAAACGATCTAGTTGTATTATATACGCATTGTTAATATATAAAGAACAAAAATATATATAAAGCAAAAAGAATAAAACTTCTATGATTAAAAAAAATTGTATTTAAGTTAGTTGCCATGAGAATGTAAATTAATATTAAAATTTGTCATTTTTCATTTATTTAATTAGATGCTTTTAAGACTTTTATAGCCATGAGAATGTAAATTTGATGTGCAATTATCAAAACCATGTCATATGTAATTAACCAATATTTATAGACAAAAAATATTATACTTTTATATATAAAAGAGGATGTCAAATTGCATTAATTATGGAAATTCTCTTGATCTTCAGAGGGTTTCATCTTCCAAAAAAAAATGTACCTATATATGTCATACTCCTTAAATTTATTTAGGCAACACAATTTTAAAAAATTTTTTATTTTCAAAATCTCAAATTCTGAGTAATATATATATATATATATATGTATATATTTATATACTTTGAGCATTTATTTAGCAGTTGAAAGAAAAAGTAAACCGACATAAACTATAAAATTTATAAAAAAAAAATTAATGCTTTTGTTATTATTATAATTTTTAGATTGAGCAAAAAGGAGTTTGAATACCGACCTTATTTTCCCACACAAAGAAAGAAACAAACAAAATAAAGGGGAGACCAAGCGAATGATATGATTATATACATAGCCTACCTTTTTGACTAGTTAGCCGACCATTCCATTTGCTTGATGCAAGCAAACCCATTCAAATATGTACTAATTTGAGTATTAATCACATTAACGTCAAACCAAGTGCAATGAATTATTACAAATAAATTGCAATTAAGTTAGAGTTAGGGTCAAAGGATGAAAAACGTATTGACTCAATAATTAAGTTACACGATAACCCTTAGATCAAGGACGAAATAAGAGGGTGGTGGCCGTCAATTCTCAATTTTTTAATTTTTTTAATTTTTATGTATATAAAACTTAGAATATATTACTTCATCACCCCTAAGCAAATAAAAAAAAAATTAATTCTGAGTAGTGGTAAGAAACATAAGTTAAAATTTTGAAAAAAAAAATATTTTTCTTTTCATTTCTTTTTTTCCTTAGCTCAAATTTTAGAATTATTTTTCTTTTCTTTTTTCCCATTTTTTCTTAGCTCAAATTTTGAAATTATTTTTCTTTCCCTTTTTTTCCCTATTTTCCTTAGCTCAAAATTTGAAATTAGTGTTCTTTTCTTTCTTTTTCCTTTTTTTCCTTAGCGCATCTAGGTCGAAATTTTGAAATTATTTTTCTTTTCTTTTTTTTTCTTAATTCATCTTTTGATCTTAAAACTAAATTTAATTATTCAAGATTGACGAAATCTGCAAGCTTGCTCCAAAGTTCTATCTTGATGACTTCATTCATCAGGAAAATTTACAGATGAAATGTGAATTGTAGCATTTGAATTTGATATTAGGTGAGATCCATGTTTACAAAGTGTTTCAACTTTGCCAAAGTTACGCTAGTTAATATTAAAGATAGAAAAATCAATTGCATATCTTCTCTTAAATTGTTTAATTAGATATGAAATATGAATTGAAGCATTTTGAACTTGATAATAGACAAAATCAATATTTGCAAAGTGTTTCAATTCTCTCAAAGTTATGTCTGTTAATGTTACAAAAAAAAAAAATCAATTGTATATCCTTTCCTAAATTGTTTGATTCGACTTATCTTAAATCTTTCAATTTTTATAGTAACTACAAAATGTGCATTTTCAATTAAAAAACTTACAAATATGAGGTTGTGTAATAAGATGGTAAAAGATTTTATTGCAAGTTCACTTATTATTTACATTGAAAAAAAAGATTATCAGGATTATGTATAGATTTAGTCATGAATGAATTTGAAAGCATGAAAACACATCGAGCCCATCTTACGATATCTAATGTAAAAATCTAATGTTAATTTTTCTTTCTACTTTATATTTATTTTATTGGTGAATATGAAAATTTATATTTAAATTGTTAATAAAATTTTATATTATAATTTAATTTTATTTCAAAAGTGATTAATTTTTTACTTTGAATCAAATCATTGACCTGATTTATAACTTTATATGATTTTTTGCCACCCATTATACAAAATCCTGGATTTGTAAAATTTTTTATCCTCTATCCCTTTTTATTTCACCTATCAAAGCAATACCTTACCAAAACAAAAATTAAAATTCTAAATTCTTTTAATAAAATTGATGTACCATGGCTTTTAATAGTCATAATACCTAAAACAATCTTTAAACTATTTTAAAAAATTTAAATAAGTCTTTATTATTTTTTTGTATTCAATTAAGTTCTTTATATTTTGATATTGTACTAAGCAAGTATTCATGATTAACGTTGACAAATCATTAGTCAAAACACCACATATCATTTTATGCTATGTGATACTGATATGGTGATGTGGCATGCTAATATGATATAATGATATAATTATATGATATTTTTTACCCTCCACCTTAATGGCATGTCGGCATAAAACTGACGAATGGAATTTTAGCTAATGACAGTAGTCAATTTTTATTTATGAAGGCTTATTTGATTTAAAATAAAATACAAAAATTTGATTAAATATAATACAAAAATAAAAATTTATTTGAGTCTTTTAAAATAATTTAAGAACTTTTTAAAATAATATGTCTTTTTAATACTAAAGAGAAAACGATCATGAAAATAATTTAAAAACTAGAAAAGGTTAGAGACTTTTGAAAAGCAAAAGATGCACATGTAAAATAAGAGGAACAAATGATTTGTTTGACACTTATCAATGTGATTCACTAAAAATGATTCTTGTTCTTTGGCATCTAATAAGGGCAGTGCTTGGGAATTGTCAATATCAGCATAAAAAAGAAATGTTCCCACTCAAACTTTTCTTTACCTTGAAGCATTTCATGTTCTTAAGTTTTTTTTTTTTAAAAAACAGAATTGTCAAAATCAGTTGAAAATATTAGTTATAAGTCAAACTTTTCTATATATACATACCCACTACATGGTGAGAAAACAATTTTTGTTAATTAAAAGGGTATTCTTTTATATGCATGTGCATTGAAAAAAAGTATAATTAAACATAATTTTAAAACAAAATATTTAAAAGGTCAAATAATTAATATATTCCTAATTTTACATATTCCTTATTATATTATTTTATTTTATCAGCTGAATTTGTGACACTTGACTTATAACACAAAACTCAATAATTCACTTTAATATATTATGTATATATTATTATCATTATTAGTTTGAAGCAATGAATCATTACTATATTATTATTATAAGTTTTTCACATTTAAGTAGAAGGTAATCCAATTATGGTAAATTCTAACCATTCTTCATAGTAAAATTATTTAATGTCAAGGATGATGTTTATTGTTTTTAAATTTACAAGTGAGATCAGAGGGTCAATATTTATTCCATTAGAATATATTCGGTATATATCAATAAAATAAAAAACAATTAAGGAAATGAAAATCATTTAATTTCGTTAGTAAAGTTTAAAAATTTTATCGCCAATATATAAAATAATTGTTTCCTTATCTGTATGGGTTTAGATATTTTAAACATAAAAGTGTAAAAGTAAAAGAAATGCATGAATAAGATGAAATATATGATAGATTGATATATTAGTGCGTTGTAGAAATACATATTACAACCTTCATAGATTAATTTAAAATAATTGTATACGGCACGGGCAAACATTGTGGTGAAGTGCGTTTTATTTTTAAAACGTTTGAAGTGTTAATGTAAGTAATTTTCGTAAAACTAAGCGGACATTTTAGTCAAAGCACAACAAGAGAATTTTAAAAGGAAATTGCATTCCATCCCCCACGGCACAGTACTAAAGGAGAAAAAAAAACCAAAATTATTTTAAGAGGCAACGACACGTTGAAACTACAGATAGAGAAACCGCAGTTCGCGATCTCTGGTTTATAATCCGCTAATAGAAGGATAGATTGTGTTTTGAAAAGACGGCTTGTGTGGGTACTAGTTAAATAATGAACACATACATATTGTAAAAAAAAAGTAAAAAAGACCCGATGACTCACCGTCAGATCTCTCTCTCTATCTCTCATTCCTCAGTTCTCACCGTTTCCGTATCTTAACACAAAACATCTTCAAATCTCTCTTTGACCAAAAAAGTACCATTTGCTTTTCCTCTTCTCTCTCTTTATTAACTCTTCGCTTTATTATTATTATTATTATTATTATTATTATTATGATAAATTTGTCGTCCCATTTTCCTTCGCCGCTGCTGCCATTCCATTTGCCGAGAAATAAAACCGATAGCACTCCCAATAAACAAAACCTCAACTCTCTCTTTTTGTTCCTTCTTTTCCTCTCTGCTCTTTCTAAAGTGCAGCAGATTTTACCTATCCATACCACTTGTTCTTTTTCCTTCTTTTATCATTCGCTTGTTCATTCAACTTTCAGTTGTTTTTCTTTTTCGTCTTCTGGGGCTGGGAGGAGGGAAAGGGAAAGGGAAAGGGGAAGGGATCCGACGGCTGCGATCTTCTCGTCCAGTTCCATCGTACGGTTAGGGCTCTCATCTCTCTCTCTCTCTGTCAGTCGTCAGCTCTTCTCCCCACGTTAAGTCTAAAATCTATCTATCTATCTATCTATTTCTTTTACTTCTCCAGTCTCCACCACCTGAACCTGAACATGATATATATATATATATATATATTATTATATTATTTCTTTTTTATGTAAATGAGAAAAAATGCGCCTGCCTTTTTAGGCCAACTTTTCCATCTCTCTCTCCCTTTTCTTTTTCTTTCATTTTTTCCCCAATTTTTTTATAAAATTTAATCAATCATTTCCTTATAATCTCTTTTTTTTCTGCACTATTGCTTTTTTTTCTCTCTCTCTCTCTCTCTCTACGTCGTCGTCTTCCTTTCAATAATCCGCTGTGAGTAATTGTTTCCATTGCTTGCTTACTTTCTATTGTTTTTATTTAAAAAGCTTGTATTTCTCTTCATTTCCAATGTGCTCTGATCACATGCAATGAAACTTTTTTGCGATTTGTTTTTTTTTTTTTACAGTTACTGGGTTAATTGATTCATCCACACTTCATTTTTCTTGATTAGCTTAATATTAAAGGAATTGTTTGTTATTCTTTTAAAACTTTAAACACGAGTTTTAAATTGTTATTGGCCTGGAACCCTACAGTGCTAGCAACTACTTAGGATCAATGGGTTTCATTTATATTTTATTTTATGGCTTTATAAGCTCAACTGTGATCTGCATGTAAGTAAAGTTTTTCTTTTGTTCAAAGCTTGTTTCATCTTTTTTTCCCCACTCAGGATTTGTTGATTCTCTGTATGGCTATCAAAAAGGAATTTGCATTTGTTCTTTTCTATAGCGTGTATGAAATCCTTTGCATTTGTTCGTTTATTTAGTGATTTTTCTATGTCGGTTCTTTTCTGTAGACTACAGTCTGCTTTTTGCGAGAGTAATGTTTTATAGTTGTATGTATGTACGTCTTGGGTTTTAATTTGTGCTTCAAAGTTACAGAATTGTGTGTTGTTAAGTGAAATATTTAAGCCTATATATATTTATATTTATATTATGTTTATCTCTATATTTTATATTTATATCATGCTAAAGCTGTTTGCTTTCTTAGGGTTTATTTTTTGTTTGAATTTTAAGTTTTCCTAAGACATAAATGCTACCCTTGAATCAGACAACAGTGCTTGAAGATTGCACCTGGAAATATTAGTTTCAGAAAGCCTATTTACAAACTATTATCCTGTTTTAAAGAGATTTAGATGCTTGCCAAACGTGAGATTGCTGTTGTGACTTATGCTTTAATGATGTAAAATTTTTCTATTTTTGTTTCATGTGAAGAGTATTTAATGTTGTTTCTAAAGAAATGCTGATAAAACTATCTTAATGGTCCTTGGAAAATTCTCTTCTCAAAAGAAGTTTTTGAGATGCCCCTTAAAGTTGGATCTTTTTATCTTGTCGTGCTGGTAAATTTTTGCTTTTTGATGATTGATTTGTAGCTTTGAATGTTAAGGATAATAAAGCAACTATTTTAATAATGATTATGTGGTAGATAGATTATAATGTAGAATATCACTTTTCTTTGTGGGAGCTCTTGGGGAAAGTGGATTGTCACATCACATGAACCGGTGTTGAATATGAGTTTTAATACTTGGGCAAGCTGTAGGGACCATGGCTTTTGGTAGTGTTTACTGCTTTGCTTTCATCCTTTACAATTTCTCATTAGACTAGTGGACTGTTTACATACATTTTTCATTAGACTAGCGTGCAATTTGTCTTGCATTTTGCACAATCCAGCCCAAACATGTGGGTTGTCTTTGGTAGTCCTGCAAAGTAAATGTCTCCATTGCAGTATTTATAGCTTTTGAAGTAATCAAATCATCACCTGGAGTTAAGGTGACAGACAAAACTGGTTGTGCCACCACACAAGAACCAATGATGGGAGTCGGGTTTATGTCATTTTCATATATATAATGAGAGACGTATGTGTAGTTACCTGTAAAAATGATGTAAGAGGTTTGGTTATTGTGGTACTTACATTGTGGCTGAACACTCTCCCTTGAACTGCATGGATTAATGGGGAGGTAACTATTTTCTTTATGTAAAAACATTGCTCACTAAGATATAGAATGTTATCAAACTATTTGGAAACACACCCTACAAAGATCTTAAGAGAGAGAGAGAGAGAGAGAGAGAGAGAGAGAGCCATATATCTTTTGGTGAAATTTATTGAATGTTGAATTTTATCGTGGTAACAAACATAAAAGAAGATCCTTTCCCGAAGGGTTGTTTTTGCCATAAAAATGCGAGATGAAAATATCTCCTTTGAGGATATATCTGATGGTAAAAATTTGCCATTTTTTTTTTCTTTGTTATTAAATTGTTGCGTTGAGGATGTTTTAATGCTTAGGCCAAGGACATCCTTCTTTACCCCTTAAAGTTGGTTAATAAGATATGCTTTTTTAATGTTAGATCTAGTGAATGAATTTAATGTATTCAATAGTCATATATGTTATTGATGCCTTCCTTGCTGCCTAATTCTTTTAGCTCTGATACAACTCTTTTGGTATGTACAGTAACTTATTCACAGTAGATTTTTTTTTTCCTTACTGTTAGTTGTGAGGTTGTCATGTTTGGAAATTCTCAAGCACAATTCCCTGAATCTTAATCCTTTACTTATCATGTTCTGCAGTGAGCAAGTTTTATACCTGAAACACTAAGGGCCTATGGAACCTAATGGTCATAGGAGAGTGAGGAGAAGGGATCATCTTGTTCAAGAAAATGGAGATACTGGTTTATCATGTTCCGTTGATGAACTGGATCCATGGACTGCATGGGCATACAAGCCTCGTACTATTTCATTATTATTTATTGGTGCATGCTTTCTTATGTGAGTACCCAGCTTAATATATACTTCCTTTTGGCCGAAATTCAACTGATTGTGCATTTTTATCCCTTACTAGATCGGCGTACGTCTTTTATACTGTCGTTCTCTTTTTACTTTCCCTACAGATAGAATTTTCTTTTGTGGCTAGAATCTTTATCTTTTGGTTTGAATGGCTGTCAATCTTTTGGCTGCCACCAACTATATAGTTGTCCGAATTTTGGAACTTGTTTCTGTTGCATGTACTATGTTCTGGAAAGGATTTGCTATTCTAGATTGCATGAGTAAAGCTTAATTGTTGGTTTGAATTAGTTTTATGCTGGTCTCCATCCCTTGTAGATATTCTTGATGCTGCTATAGTGTCACCAACATGTTCAGCGAATCAAGGTTGGCGAGTGAGGGGATGGGATCTGTGTTTTAAAAAGGAAGCTATGGTTAAATGACACCATGGTGTTGGGATTATTAAATTTTAGGTTAAAATGAAGTTGGAGATTATTTAAATTTTTGGAGAATCTCATGGCAGCCTTCATGTATGTTTTGAATCTGTATCATTGAACAAATGTTTTTCAACTATAGTTTCTTTTCTCTTTTTCCATTTTTCCCATGTAAAAGTAACCCTGATAATTATGCTGTTTTCTTGCAATTGTTATGAAGGTAATTTCTGATAATAGAAATCTATAGATGTTTTTGACTCAGGTGGACTTGGTGCCATGTCCTTAAGTCGCATATTCACCTTTTAAAATAATTTTTGTTCTATGATACATAGCAGAAAACCTTAAATAACCTGGATTTTTTTTCTTTGTTTTTTTTTTTACAAGAAATAAACCTCTTTCTTTTTTCTAATTTAAAATTTATCTCAATTTTTATATTAGTATTCGTTTATTTATTGTCTGTATGTGTTTACCAGATGGGCAAGTGGAGCCCTTGATCCTGAGAGCAGTGAGTCTGGCGATCTTGTAACATCCGTAAAAAGGTTCCTGTTGATTTCTATTCGCATTTTACTTTCTTCACCTTTTTACTTGCTAACATATTTTAATTGGCTCCTGTGGGCTGTTTTTGTAGGGGTGTATGGGCAATGATTGCAGTTTTTCTTGCTTATTGCTTGCTGCAGGCTCCATCCACGTAAGTTATTACTTTAATTTCTTGTTTAGAACATGGTACAATTGAATGTTCGTTATTGGATTCTCGACTAGTTGGGGTCTCTATAGATTTTCATGTGCTTAGCTTGTGTATCTAATGGCTATAACTAGGCTATTTTCCTCCAGTAAGTCACATTGGCTTCTGAAGAACCCACTTTTTAAAATTTGGGAGTCCAAATGTCTCTGGAAATTGGCAAGGCTTTCTTACTGTATCTAAATGAAGAAACGTGGAGATAAGTTTTAAAGGAGCCATATTTATCATTTTGTCTTGCAGTCCAGGCATCATATTTCCCTGTTATGGCCCTTAAAAAGCCTTTTAATTGTGTTTGTCTAGTTTGTTAACATGGTGCAACCAAGTTGGTGTAGAATGATGTAGTTTCCAAATTTGGCAGAGTGCATTTGCCTTGGTGCATTCTTTTTTTTTTGGTTGGTTGCATTAGTACTTACTAGCAAGTTTAAGTGTCCCCCACCTCCAACAGGAAAAAAAATTATGTGGTATTTGATTGCATTACAATTGTTTTGGTGCATTAAGAAACGTGCTGAGAAAGCTACCTAATTGATTTGGTCTAAATAAAAGATACTAGATCCATCAGAGGTTTTCATGTTAAAGTAAGGCTGAAATTTTTTCCTTAGCGAGTTATCAATGACTTTCAGTTGGTTTCTTTAGGCTATTAAAGCAAATGCATGGTCTATGTGGGCTGTATATTATGATGAGTGAAGAATACATTTCTATCATCATTGAGTAATTTTATCGTATGTAAATATTCACGGTTTTATTGCCTGAGTGGCTTTATATGTATCAATATTTTATGTTTTAAAAGTCGGATTATGTATTTGCATTTGCTTTAAGATCCCTTTGACCTGTCTTTTATCGAAAATTTGATGTCATAGCAATTGTATTATGATTATTCTGGCTGGAGAAGATGGCGATTGAATTCTATAAATTTTTTTATGCATAATTTTAGAGTTTAATCTGTGTTGTTTTTTTCTAATTTTTTTTATGAATCTGTGTTATAATCACCGGCATTTTGTGTTAGTATGGTTAGTGGACTGCTAGTTTTACTGCTCTAAAAGATCGAAATTTAAACTTCCTTGCAGCGTCCTTATTCGGCCTCATCCTGCAATTTGGCGTTTAGTTCACGGAATGGCTGTTGTTTACCTTGTCGCACTCACATTTTTACTTTTTCAGGTTAGTTTTCTTATGTTCAGCTTTTATTTTTGTATCTATACGGTTTCCATCGCGATGTTTATTTGTTTTTATATATTATTAGTATTTAACCCATGTTTTGCTCTGGGATAATCAATTTTGATTTGTGTAATTATGAGCAAACATTGTTGGTTGTATATTTGCAAATTTAGGGGTAATTTTCTTTAGCTGAAAAATACATAGCTAAATTTATAAATGAAAGGGTCCCAATTTAAAAACCTAAACCTGCAAAACCAAATCAACCCAATTTTGCCAAAAAAAAAGAAAGAATAAAGATAAAGCTTAATTTAATGTTAATATATAAATATTATACAATTATAATAATTATCTATCTTTCAAAATAAACTCTAGAAAAGCCCCAAAATAAACCCACCTAAACCAAAACCCCAAAGTCAAAACCTTAAAAATCTCCTCAGATCCAATACCATTTTAAAAATCCTTCTCCACAATACCATGTACCTTCTACCACCTACTCAAAAATGTGCCATGTGGCCACCCATAAACCCTCAAATGCCAACTCTTCAGCACCCTTGCACTTTCCTTTTATATAGTGGTATGGATACGTGCATATTTGCATTCTATAGTAGCTTTTCTTGTCAGAAACCATTCTTTTTCTACACTACTTTATTTTGTGGGTTGTCGTTATATGCTGCACCTAGATTCTTTAGTTGACCTCTTGAAAAACATAAATTCTGATGCACCTGTCTCAATTTAAAGCTTTTGCTATAATAAAAATGCCATAAGAATATCAGAAGATGCTCGGCCTTGCAAAAAGGAGCTGAAGTGCGCTACTAACAAACATCAAATTCTCTCTCTCTCTCTCTCTCTTCACACACACACACACGTCACAGATGCAACAGACGTGGCACATACATGTATGTATGCGTCAAGGGTTGTAACTAAGTATTGTTCTGGAATGGTTATAGACACACGCTGATCCAGAGTTGAATAAATGATTAGTGATGGTTGCTTTCAATTCTTTTTTCCAGAAGCGTGATGATGCTAGGCAATTTATGAAGTTTCTTCATCCTGACCTTGGTGTTGGTACTGTTTTTGGCTCTGAAAGACTTTTAGTTTGATATTTGCTCTGTTGCTATTAATTCTTTGTTCAAGTTTCTTGATTGTTGTTTGCATCTTCATGCAGAGCTTCCAGAAAGATCCTATGGTGCTGATTGTCGCATTTATATTCCTGAAAATCCCTCTAGCAGGTTTAAGAATGTTTATGTACGGATATTCTTACACAACCTGGCTACTCTACTTTATTCTATTTTTTCTGGCCTCTTCTTCTTTAAGTATTTACGTTTAATGCATGCTTGAGCCTGTGTTTCTTGATGCACATTACTACTGTATGTATTTCAGACTTCTGATTTTATTATGTATATAAAAAAAATATTTCTAGGAAACGCTATTTGATGAATTTGTTCTAGCCCACATCTTTGGTTGGTGGGGCAAGGCCATTTTAATCCGCAATCAGCCGCTTCTCTGGGTCCTCTCAATTGGATTCGAGTTGATGGAGGTTAGTCTTTTGACTGGACATTCTTATCTTTTTCTTCTTGTTCCTATTTTCCATTTAGAAGTATTATTAATGGTAAGGCTGCTCTCTGTTTGCATCAGTAAACTAACTACTATGATGGCATATACAGTTTACCTTCCGACACATGCTACCAAACTTTAATGAGTGCTGGTGGGACAGCATTATTCTCGATATTTTAACGTGTAATTGGTTTGGTAAGATCCTGCATTGCCATTTTCTTTGCCCTTTGTTTTTTTTTTTCTCTTCCTTTTGTCGTTGTTATACTGTAGGCTGTAGCATACAAGATTGTCTATGAATCATGAAAACGAATAGAAGTT